GGACGACGTAGGGGGGGGGGGGGGTTTAAATATTCTGGAGAAAATGGTTTAAAAACGTCATTTCTGAGGGGCCTCAGTTCAGCCAAAAATGAGGGGTTTGGACCCAGAATGGTCCCGGAGTTTCCAATGTTATGGAAAACCCAACTCCGGGATTGGGAAAACCTTGGGAGGAGCAAATTCCAGAGGTTTCCCCAACCCAGCTTTGTCCTGGGGGAGAATTCCGCCTTTTCCGGCTAAAAACGAATCCCAAAATCCGCGAGCTGGCCGGGATTCCCCCCCGGGGGAGTTTGGTGGGATCGAGGTGGGAAAAGCGGCACAAAGAGGAGGAATTCCCAGGAAAACGGGATTTTCCTGGCTCCAGGGGGAGAAAATCCAACGTGAGGGGTCCCGAGGGAGCCCCAGGGAATCCCAGCCTGGAATGGGGCAATTCCCACGGGAACAGCTCCAGCCTGGACCTGGAATTGCCCCAAATCCCCGACTCTGTCCCTAAAAACCATCTGGGAACATCCCGGGCTGGGAAACAGCTTCATCCCAAAAATCTCCCTGTCCCAAAAACCGGGCAGGAATTCCGGGAATTCCCTGATCCCGCTGCTCTCTCCTCTCCCGGGAATTCCGGGAATTCCCTGAATCCGGAGGGCAGCGCTGGGCTCATCCCGAATTCCCCCGATCCCATGGAAAATCCACGGAATCCCGCTCCAAACCCGGCCTGGCTCGGGACACTTCCCTTCCCCCGCTGGCAGATCCCGATTTTCCCGCACTCCCCCTTCCCGAACTTCCCGAACTTCCCGAACTTCCCGAACTTCCCGAACTTCCCGGACAGAATCTCCCTCCCAAAGCCATCCCAAGGGAATTCCCATCCTCCCCTTCCCGAATCCGCATCCAGCGGGAATGTCTGACCCCGAGAGCTGGAGAGGAAGCGGGAAAAGGGAAATAAAATGACAAAAATATCCAAAAAAAATTAAAAAACAACCTAAAAAATAAATTAAACCCAGGAATTGCCACCGGATCCGGGGGGAATTTTCCAGAAACTTCGGGGTTTTTTTTTTTCCCTCTCTTCTCCGAAGCACCTTGGAGTCGTTGGGATGGGGGAATTTGGGAAAAGCATCTTTGAGGAATCACATTTGGGCTGATTATAAAAAGTTCTCTATTGTACAACAGAGCTGCAGCTACACTGAAAAAAATTACACCGCTTATGGAAATACAATTATTATTATTAATTATTATTAATTGTTATCAAATTTTTGTTTGTTTGTTTTTTTGTTGTTGTCATTTTAGAAACAGACTCTACTAAATAGGATCTATACAAAAAACCCTCTAAAATAATTTCTGTAGTAAAATAAAGACGTGTGTTAGGAGAGCTACACAAAAACCACGGCGGGGGAGGGGGAGGGGCGTTGCCACTTGACAGAGCTGTTCACAGCCTCTCTGGGTGTAGCAACAATTCTGCTGCAACAGGGAGGAATTGCATTGGGA